GAATGACCTGCATGCTCTTGCCTTCTGCTCTCTCCCAGGGCTTCAGAGCCACTTGGAGCCAGTTCTCCATGGTGACAGGCAGATGGCCCCCCGACTCGGGTTATTACTTGTAGGGCCCCTGCTGGGCTGCCCCCTGCCCTCCCAGCACCTCCGGTGCCCAGGCCTGCAGTGGGCTGGTGGGGAGCTGGCCCTGCCATCTCCCAGGACCCCCAGATCTGGGTCCCAGAGGAGGGCTATGGACACCTGCACAGAAGGTCAGCGACCCGGCCTGGGCCTCCCACTCAGCTCTGCCGTTCTCTTGAGGTGGCAGAGGGCGGGCTGGCCTTCCTGCTGCTTGCATTCTACACCCCACGGGATGAAGGGAGCACCGGCCCACACACGAGAATGGGGCCGCTGCCCTCACATTAATCAGAATGAAAAGGCACAACAGTTCAGGTCCGGCTCCAGGGGGGCAGCCGGCGTTGACCATGGCTCCCTGCCCCAGTGATGCAGGGCAGACAAGACAAAGTCCTCACCTTCAAGTACCCGACAGCCCAGTGGAAAGGAAAGCCAACAACAGAGCATAACCAATGGACACAGACAGCAGGGGCGTCAGGGCATGTGCTGGGGGTGGGAACGGCCGGGAAGAGGTCAGTGGGGGGAAAGGAGACTTATGTAATACTTTAAAGAATTTAAATTTTTTTAAAAAGCCAACAACATCATTTCAATTACTTTCAAGTGCGTTGGAGGAGGTAAAACGGGCTACTTTCCAGGGTGGAAGAGCACTTAGTGAGGAGATCTGAGGTTTCTCAGAGGGAGCGGTTGACAGTGAGGACACAGCCGGCCAAGTGAGGAGCTGGCAGGACAGTCCTGGGAGCAGGAACAGAGAGTGCAAAGGGCCTGCGGCAGAACGAGCTTGGAGGTTCGGGCAGAAAGACTGATCCAATTGCAGTGATGACCCTGTGAGCCGGCACCGCTCTGTCCTACAGGACTCGCTCCTTTAACCCTCACGGCCATGCCTGGAGGTGGGTGTAATTAGCCCTATTTCTCAGGTGTAGAGTCACACAGCTGGTGGAGGAGCCAGAATCCACTCCCAGGTGGTCTGGCCCCAGAGCCCTTGTTTTTAGCCACCCTGTGGGTGCAAGGCAGGGGCAGGCAGCACCCGGCGCTCGGAAGTTTCATAAACTGGGCGCTGGAGCCAGAACTGAGCCCAGAATGCCTGCGACACTGCAGCCCTAGGAGGGGCAGCACACAGTCTCCCGGGACTTCTCCCAGTCCTTGGCTCAGCCGTGGGTCTGCGCACAAGGGCACTCAACAGCTACCCTGCTGCCAGCTTGACTTCCCTGTGGGGCAGGCAGTAGGGGTCACAGAGCAAAGATGGGGTCTGCCTGCACTGCCGAGGGCCCTTCCCCCGGCCCCACCCTCAGCCCCAGCGCCTCTGGGTCTCAACAGGAAAAGTGTGGGTGGGGGCAAAGCAGGAAGGCAGGGGGCAGGTCTGCAGGTGGGCCCTGCGCACGCGCTGTGTCTGCACCAGCTGGGCTGTCAGGACAAACAGGTGTGAGACATCCCAGCTGGGGGCATCGAACTTGTCACTGGGGAGTGAGGATTAACCACTGTGCAGCCCAGGCTACTTCTCACTTCCTCTATCACCTCCTGCTGCCCCCCCAATAAATGTTAATGAACCCTGCCCTTCTCCCCTCCTCCCAGCTCCCTCTGGTCAAGGGAGAAAGTCAGGCAACATTTAGGTAAACTGAGTCTGGACCACATAAGAGGGTCTTCTTCCCCTCCCCCATTCTTGTGAGGATGTTTGATGCTTCCCAGGGGGTGTCCTTCATCCCAGCTGACAGTTTGACAGCATCCATAGCAGTTGTTTCCTTTTTATAAACTGGGAAGCTGAGGCCAGAGGAGCGAAGGACGGGCCACAGGTCACACAGCCACAGCCTAGAGCGTCCAGGGCCGGAGATGGGGACAGAGGCCAGGCCTGGACCACTCTCCATGCTGCCTCCCCGCTGGGGCCACCACTGGCCTCTCCATGGCAGTAAAGGAACAAGCTGCGTAAAAGCCAAGCCTGCAGGTGTGGAATGGGAAGGGACAAGGAGCCGAAGATGTCACACCGTGAAGCAAGC